GCGGATATTGTACTCTTTTAGCACAGCGACAGACTGACCGCAAATTAAGCAGACTGCCTTAGAATTAATATCCATAAAAAAATATTCTTCCTCCCAGGTTCATTTAAAATGCCTTTTGTCTGTGTGCCACCGTCTACTGCTCTCCATGTTGCTTGCTACTGCTCCGTTCTTCGTGTTGTTGTTGTTGTTGTTGTTGTTCTTCTTCTTCTTCTTCTTTTTTTCTTCTTCTTCTTCTCGTTTTATTGGTGGATTGCGAGCTGAGCTGGGAGCTGCTTGACCTGACAACTGGGGTGGCATAATAAATTGTGGGGGGCCAAGAAATGTCCCCGCGGGCCAAAACAAATGTTCCGTGGGCCAAGTTTGGCCCGCGGGCCCCACTTTGGGCACCCCTGCTATACTGTTTATGTTTTGGGACACTAAGTATGGCAAACATCTTAATTGTTCACTTTAGCTGTGCACTATTGGATATACTGACAACTATCACTGAATTACTGATTTTCAGGCAAGTTCTGCAGCTCTCCAATCCCTACATTATCTCATAACTACAAGATCCTGATCTCGTAATCATGAGATAGTAAGTCATAATTATGAGACAAGTTCCTTCAACTTTTTTATCTTTTGGTAAATGCAACGCGCTCCTGTAGTTACCTCACTCATCAATACATCATAAATTATCACATTATAAATATTTCATAACGGTTCATTCTTGGAGCTTTTCACCTGTACTCTCTCCTCCCTTCACCATGCCTAGCCTTCGATCCTGGACTTATCTTTTCACTCTATGGTGAATCCTGCTGCAATTTCCCTTTCCTGCACAAACACATAGAGGTACAGTCGTGTGGTTCCCAAAGCCATGATAACAATATGTCACAGTAAAGCTTTCCTTCGTCAACACAAAGTACCGATTCGGTTTTGTTTTCCCTTTTGGGACTGAAGACACTGAAACTCAGTGGAGAAATTAAATAAAAAAGATTTTGGGGGTGGAGGGTTGGGTGCGCGCAACATTCAAACCAACCATTATCCTCTCATTTTCACCTCTGCAGCAATGGACAGAGAAACCATCTTGCACTGCATTGTGGGTAACGTAGTAAAGCTCATGGTTTGGGAGCTTCAGCCTTCTGAACTGCTGTGCTTTGACATGTGATCTTAAACACAAACCAATAATAGTACCACACACACTCTCTCTCACACACACACGCCATCCTATCACCATCATTGATCTACAGAATTGATGCGCAGTAGCTGTACATCAGCAGCAACACCTGTTCCGCAGCTGTACAAGCACAGACGTTAACAAAGTTGGTTGATGTTGCTGGCGCCTGTATATGACCTGCAGCATTAAGCTAGTAGTGTAGCACCGGGTTTTAATAGTAGCAGTAATATTATAGTAGCAGTAAGAGCAGTAGTACCTGTAGTAGTTGTGATAGTTGAAATAGCAGCAACAACAATGATGAATTGCACTAAGCAAACCTGAGTCAAATCCTGCTCGATGACGAGGTGTGTAGCATTCAGCTCACTGATGACAACTGTTTCCTCAATGCCAGGGGAGCCTCAATCAATCCCAGAAAGACTCTGTGAGGATTTGAAGTCAGACACGAGTGTCTCTGCATCGGAGTATCTGTCAAAACCCTGAGATACAACCAGTAACAGACGTTTGGGTTTGAATCACTTAAAATGCTGTATCTCCTTCATACAGACAAGAAGCCACAAAAACATCTCTTTAAAAAATACATCAGCTGTTGTTTAACCAGATCAGAGGTGTTTCTTTTTTTGAGTTTGGCAGGACCGACATGTCAAAGCACAGCAGGCCATTGGTGATGCTCCTGTCATTAAAGGGACATTACACAGTAAATGATCACATCACAGTTCGGATCACCTAGGGCTGCAGTGCAGGGTTAGAGGGTAATTTTGTAAGTTCTGTCTACAAAAGGGAAGAAAAAAGAGAAGCGGACCAAAGAGGTGAAAAAGAGAGGAAGAGGACATTAGAAGGGCAAAATCCTTCAAGTCAGGGTTGTTCTGGGTCAGTCCAAAGCTGTGGGTCTCTTTGTCCCACGCTGATGACCTCAGAGACCAGCTGTGATGATGTCACCATGATGGACAGTTCACTCTCGCCCACTGGCAGAGTAGGAGAACTGTGGGAAGTGCGGTCTTCTCTCATTGTCCAGACAGTCCATCCCGTCCTCATCAACTAGGACAAGCAAAGAAAGATGGCTTCATTTTTTTTTACCATTAGTCATTTTTCATTTAATAACTCCATAAAATCAAAAGGAAATTGTCAGGTAGAGACATGCTCTCCCAATATAATCAAACATTACAAAGCACTGTGTTTGTATTGTACTGTAGATTTAAACAGAACACGATTCAATTAACAAGTGCATCTTTGATGTGGCAGTCTCCTGCTAACTAACTGATGTGCGACCTACAGAACAAGTGGAACCTCACGTTAGCGCAGAGAAACACATCGGCTCCACTCATGCATAATTCAGTGCCAAACATTTTGAAACCGATATCTTTATCTCAAAAGACTTGTGACGTGCTGCGTGTGGCTTGAGGGCTACTAGAGAGACACTTGAATAAATGGAAATGTCTTACCTGAAGAAAAACAGGGCGCATTGATTAGTTGTTTAAAACTGCAATTAAAGTAGTTTTTAAAAAAAGCTGAGTTTGATCAGCTGCTTGACAAATTCAATGTACTGAATGTGCATCAATAACATTATCAGCTGTCACAGAAAGTATTCCAGCTGAAACATGTACAGTACATTCATTGTGTGTGCTAGTTTAGGTTTTTAATATTCAACTCCCCCTATGCTTGATAAACACCCTCTAAACAAGTGAATTAACCCTTTGTCGGTTTGTTTATTTCTAGATTTCTGTCTCTACCAAGAATGTTTACAGCTATGTCAAAAGTGAAAGTGAGATTTTGTCAAGTTTTATTGTGGGCATATGTTTATGCGAACATGCTTGAGAAAGTGAGAGAGAGAGACGATCAGAGTCAGAAGAGACTCACATTTCTCTGGCGGAGTAATTGTGATGGTCTGGGCTGTGAACTCCTCGTCAAAATATCTGGTGTCCGTCTCCGATGTCACCTGAGGCTTGAAGGGAGGAACCAGCTGGGATGAAGAGGTGAGGAGGACACAGAGGTGAGAGATTAAACTGTACAATAACACTGGCAGCTGCACACCCAACTCCAGATCTCACAAAATAAAAGGCCACAGGAGCAGCAGGTCTGTGGACTTTCATCCCTCTGTTTTGCAAACATCTCCCCTGTTCATTGACTTAAGGTTTTGCTCCTGATCTATAACCTCCTAATGATCTGGCCATAGATTATATATATGTATACGTGTTTTACCAGACGAAATGAGAAGAGAGGACAGAAAGGAAAAAAGTGAGGAAGGGAAGAAAGAAAATGAGAGTAAAGGAATGGGCTAAGGAAGGTGGAGACAATTGGAGAGAAAAGCACAGGGAAGAAGAGAGCAGATAAAAAGAAAATCATAATCAATGAGAGATGACCTAACATAAAAGGGGGAGGGGAGAAGAGAGTCCTGGAGGGATGAAAAGGAAGGAAGAGAAGAGAGGAGGATGTGAAAAACAGGAGAGGTGGTAGAATGATCTGGGAGGAGGCTCAGGACTTGTCTGACATGCTACTGTCAAGTGCTGCCACACAGGACCTGACTCCCACTCAGTGGGGTTATACAGTACAAGCAAACACATCCATGGATGGAGATCTCCAGGATAAAAGGTTACATCTCTCCATGATGCCCTGTCATCACCAGTGTGATATCGGCCAAGTTAACCCTCAGAAAATACAGGGAATTAAATAAACTGCCAAACATACAGTATCTTTATGGTGAGTTATTCGCCACCAGCCCAAAATGCAAGCATAAGGTTTTACCCTCGTATTGTTCCATACCTTTTTATCATACACATCCTGCCAGTCAACACCGGAGAAGAAGCTGTGTCTCATTATTTCTTTAGCATCATCTGGTCCTCCACCAAGCCTGGAGGAGAGGAGAGGGATGGTGTAACAAGTTGAACAGAACGTAATCAAACTGATAACAGTTAACAGAAGCGATAAAAAGATATTCATTACTTCCTTTAGCAAAATAACTTGGGTGTAAGTGAAAACACATCACACTGTCTTGTTTATTGTTGGTATACACATTACTGTACATAGATATACCAGCCGTACATGAGACAGTGTGAGGGAATTTTGATTCAAGTGGTGTTTCCTTCCTTCTGATATTTAAGGAACATTTAGCAAAACAACTGAAATGAATCTCTGCATGTCCAAAACAAATTCACTTGCAAAACTCTGCCCTGACTTTTGATTTGTCAATTGGGCATCTGTATCTTTGCACATCTCTCCAGTCCCACCAGCACAGTTACCTACACCAAATCTGGGCACACACCGTTTGTTGGGGTCTTTAATGAGCAGGCTGGACAGCAGGGACTTGGCGTCAGCTGACAGAGTGCGCGGGAACTTGATGTCCTCCATGAGGATGAGCTCAAACAGCTTCTCGTGGTCCTGGTTGTAGAATGGCAGCCGGCCACACATCATCTCATACATCACCACACCCAAACCCCACCAGTCTACCGCCCGACCATAGTCATTGTCCTCCAGGACCTGAGGAGAATAGATGCAGATACACTTTTTTTTTTTTTTTTTTTTTTTAAATGGGGCCATTTGTTTTATTGGACACCTGCTTTTATTTTGCATTTATTTCATTGGACAACAACAGACTGCCAGAGGTGTTTAAGAGACAGATGAGTGAAGAAACACAGCAGAGTCAATATGCCATTTTGCTTAGGGGATAAATAAAAAAAAATTAATTAGTAAAAGCTGTCCAAGATGAACAGAAGCGGCTCCTCAAGACTGCAAGAGCTGCTGGTACACCCAGTACACTGACACACATACAGTACAGAGGCAGACATCATGGGATGGCAGGTCTTCAGAGGCCCCTGTTACAGTAAGGGAGTCAGTGTGCTGGTGTGGTCCACCACATACCCCCTCTGGTCCCTGCCAGCTCTCCCTGGCGCACTGACACTCTCCTGGCAGCGACAGGCAGAAATGTCCCTGGATAGAAAAGGCTGGATTAGCCAAAAACACAGGTCAGTGCCAGTCCAACCTCCAAGCTGGTTCGCACAGGTATTACACTGTGAGCTACTGTGCTGCGTGTGAGGGGAACAAGGTTCTGTGAAAGAAGTCACTCCTGTATCAAAGTCTTCTGTCTGGGCTGCCTTCCTACTCCTCTTCCCTGCCTGCTCTTCACATGCTGTCCTCTCCATCCCGTCTTATCCTGCCTCCTGTTCTCTAATCACGTCTTCCCTCGCTCGCTCGTTCCTTTCATCCCCTCATGTGCCTGTTTGCTCACCCCTGGAAGAGCGAGAAAGCAGAGAAGGAAAAAGAAAGAAGATACAGGAAGAGATGTATTTCAGGTGCTACTAAGGCCCTCATGAATAGGAGCTTTTTTAACATCATGAGCATACGTGTGCACCTGGGTTGTGTAGTCGCAGTGACTGACACACAGACAGGCAAGGCTAGAGAGCAGCCAGAAAGGCTTATGTACATCTCACCAATAATAATAATAATAGCATCTCACTCACTGTTAGTAATAGACTAGGTAGGGTAGACATGAGCACACACCAACAGTAACTAACACATAAATGCAAACAGCCTTATTCTTTTAACATTTTTTGTCAGTTTCTCCTAATAAGTGTCAGATGAAGGTACAGGTGATGTTCTGCTGTACAACCCCAACTGTAAGTCATGCTAAATGTCACTGTGCACTGATGCCAGGTGAGAGAGCACAACAAGGAGCTGCCTGTGAGTCTCCACAGCAGCTCTGTACCATAGAAAGCTGGTCATTAACCGAGTGAGCTCACACTCTCAACACTAAACTGCTAATGATGCAGGCGGCTGCTTCAGTCTGTACAAGTCAATGTGTGTGAAAGTGAATAAGAGAGTTATGAGTGCTAGTTGATGTGTGAATGTGTATGCGTTCGCGTATGCATTAAGCTGGTCACCCTGTTGGCAGCTGCAGAGAAGAGCTGGGGGATGAATCACGCCTCCAGCTCCAGATATTCTATTGATTGGTATGGCTGGAGGGATAACACTGGCTTAGACTGCTGGGAGACTGTCAGACACACACACACACACACACACACACACAAACAGCAGATGGAATATTTATCTGTCCTCATCAAATTCATAAAGTTTTGAGAGTGAGGTGAACTAGGAGATGTTTGGTGTTGTTTCAGTCCCTGCAGCTTGAGGAAGGACACACACAAACACACACACACACACACACACACACACAGCATGCAGTTTATGAAATTCAGAGTAGCCTTATGCTGATCTACAGGGCTGTGTGCACTGTGTTGAGTCTCTGTACAAAAAGGTATAGAAGTGTATACAAATACAAGCCGTTCAGTTGGGTATGTATGTGTATTGGTCTAAGAAGGTGTGTGTGTGTGTGTGTGTCCTGGGACCAAAAAAGTGGTGGCAGCTCGGTTGCAGGCAGGGAGCAGATTAATCCACACAGAGCCAGAATGCTGCCCCACAGCCCTAGGCATGGAGTGTGTGAGTGTATGTGTGTGTATGCAGAATACAGTTGGTGTGATTATGTGTGCAAAAAGAAAGGACAAATAAATGGGTCAAGACAGAAGGAGTAACAGAGAAGAGCTCTGATTAAAAGCAGCTATGAGGGAGAAGGACTCGTTCTGGCCCTGTCCCTGTCGGGGCAGCCATGTGGTAGCTAGATGCTGCTCGCAGGACAAGGGCTCTGGCAGCCTGGAAAGGACGAGATGGGACAGAATGGCCACACGTAGCCTGTGGCTATACCAGCCCAGATAGCCAGTAGGGAAACACACACACACACCCCTCATATACCAGGCACAGTGAACATACACTCGCATATTGTCAGTGTCAGAGAGAGACCTTCTATCTCCAAAGTGTCATCATTTGGAAATCGGTTTGTGCTGACACAGTTCTGATGTCTTGCAATGTTTTACTAACAGCTCACTGTGCTGCTATGTTAATGAAACATTTACACTTACTGAAAAAGGAAAAAAAAAAAATCACAATACCCAACATATACAACATTCAAACAAAATACAAACAAACATGTATAAATAAATGGAAAGAAGCCATCGCCTTCAACGCTTTCAGCAAAAAATAGCCACAAGGAAACGTGTCAAACAGAAAAATTTGAGAAAACAGAAAAAACACTCCCCATGTGTTTTTCTCTGATCTGGTTCCATCCCTTTACAAGGACCTTACACTGCTTATTGTTCATTACTCTATTTTTGACTGTCAGTGGAACACAATAAGATTTGAGTCTATTGCTTTACAAGTTCAGCTGAAGAATGAGTCACTTTACAGTTGCCTCGTTGCTGAAGCTCCTTCAGCCCAGCAGCAGACACAAACCTTTTTAATTCACTTCTCATATGCCCTTTTCACTCACGGCAAACGCAGGAACTGTCTGAATTATCACTCCCGTAACCCTGAAATATTTTCTCTCCCTTCTCATCTTCCTCTGTCTTCAACCCCCACCTCCCCCCTTTCTCTTTTTAATCCCGGCTACTTTGCATCTCTCTAACTTGGCTCCGAGCAAACTGTGTTATTTTTACATGCGGGCGGGCGAGCAGAGCGTGCGGGCGGGCGAATGGCGGCGGCGGTGGTGGTGTAGATTTCCAGGTTTTTTCTGAGCACCTTCCTCCAACCTCGCCCATCTGCCGCCATCTGCCTCGCTTTAGTCCACACTTTCTACTGCAATCACACACACAGCGCACACACGCGCACACATAAATGCACACAGACGCACATCCTGTGAAAAATAACCAACAGCCTCCAATCAGCTTTTGGCACGCAAAGGAAGGGACTCTAAAAAAAAAAAGCACAAAATGCTGCGCCAAATTGTCCTCCATACTTTTTCAAGTGGGATATACACTATGCCTCTCCCCTCCTGCCTTCATCTCCATCGCTCTGTCTCCACCACCCACAGTCCTGAAATGCTCTCGCCAGTTGATCTGCTGGCCTTCGAGTGAGGCAGCGCTGGTAGCTGGCTGGACAGCGGATGGCTGCAAAAAAAACTATTATAAGAATCTACTTGTGTGTTTGCCCCTCACCAATTCAACCAATTCACACGCATAAGCTGCATATTTACAGTTCACCCTGATATTATGGAACAGTTTGCCTGTGAAAATGTACTGTCTGTGTTGCTCCTGGAGGTCCTTCCTGAAACTACCCAGACTACGATCAGTAATAATCCTGGTAGTTAAACTAATCAGCCAGCACGGTTGTTAGATAAACAGGCACTGTGCAGTGGACAACATGAGTCCCATAGTTCACTGGGGCGTCCCAGGAGTAACCCTGAACAGCACAGAAATGCTGCCTAATGGACAGGCTGCCTGTGGATGCCACAGATGCTTTTATGTACTACAAAGCCTCAGTCAGTCTGCTCAGTGTTCTCAGTTCCTGAGATTTCTGTCATTTATCAAATGATAATAGTCTACACTGTGTCATTAAATCCATCACACTTAATGTGTTCATAATGTAACCACAACAGTTTTACTTTTTTATTTGCACACACTAAAAGTTCAGCAATGATGTCTTCTTATGTCATCTATCATACTGAATAGAGAAGAATATCATAACACACCTATTCAAGTATCCCACTAAATCAAAAAATTTTAACAATTTAGACTGTATGAAAGCTCCATTGGTGTGATCCCTATATCCCATCTTATGCATATATCTTGATTGACACATACCTTTATATTTATGTTTAAACTTGTCAATTCTATTACTATTTTTTATGTCCGCGCTTAAATTATTCCATAGTTTTACCCCACTTATGGAAATACACAATCTTTAGCTCCCCCAATTTTCAATTGAAGTTCATTATCTAGTCTACGATTCCCAAATACCATAAATTTAGTTTTATCCAAATTCAGAGATAGTATATTACTATCACACCATTTCTTTATCTTCTCAAGTTCCTGTGTAACCCGTCGAGAGAGTTGCTGTAGGTTTTCACCCGATGCCCATATGGTAGTGTCATCAGCAAATAAAACCACTTTCACTAAATCAGAAACCTTGCATATATCATTAATGTATAATATAAATAATTTAGGTCCCAAAACAGAACCCTGAGGCACTCCACATACAATATCCAGCTCACTCGATTGGTATTCACCCAACTTCACAAATTGACGCCTCTGTGTCAAATAACTTCTAATCCATTTCAGAACCATTCCTCTGATCCCATATTTTCCTACTTGTCCATTAATAATTCATGATTGATTGTGTCAAATGCTTTTTTTTAGGTCAATAAATATCCCCATCATGTATTTCTTCTCATCCATAGCACTTGTAAATGATCTTAACCTCTGAAAGAAAAAAAGAACTGGACCAGAATGATGGTGGAGAGGTTCAAGGCAGGAGAGAGAGAGAAACAAGGACAAAACGCATAATTAATAAAAGAAAAAGCTTTACCTCAGGTGCGAGGTACTCTGGAGTGCCACAGAAGGTCTTCATGGTAGCAGCATCTGTGATGCCCTCCTTGCAAAGGCCGAAATCAGTGATCTTGATATGGCCATCTTTATCCAGCATCAAGTTTTCCAACTGGAAAGGAAACAAAATACACAGCATTTTTGTTTGACTTACAAAAGCATAGTGAAAGCCACTGTACCAGAGTCAACTTCCTTGTGTGTTCAACATACTTGTGTGTTCAACATACAGAGGATTCTGATTCAGAGAAATTCCCACAATGCAACTCTGACCACTGGCATCTCAAAAATCAGTAGAAATGAAAGAGAAAACTAATCTCGACAATGCATTTCTCAGGAACTGGCATTCATCTGAAACATTTTGAATAGTTACTCATTATCATTTGTGACTGAGAACCAACACACACATATTTAACTGCTTTGTTAATTGACAAATAATTTTTTAAAACTGTGGATTCAATATCTTACTGCTTTGAAAAGGAGAACATAGGCAGACAGATAAGACAAACCATACTGTTTGTACAGAGAAGGGAGTTAAACTACAGGTATGTACTGGAGCCACTCAACCTTTTAATTTTAATGGCTGAAGTGTTTTTGCACTCTCTCTCTGCTTTTTCTTCATTTTGTTTTCTTGGCTGCTGTGAGCAGGGCTGGGGCCAAGGCTGCTAGGCAGACGCTCAGACAGAGCCGTCTACCTCTACCTCTGTGGCATCGGCACCCCCTTCCTCCCCCGTCCCACATTTCTTTACTGCTTTATGTCTGTGTGAGCTTGTCCCTGTCCCTCTCTTTAATTACCACACATACTGAGCCACTCATCTCCTCATGGATGGAAAAAAAAAATGATACACAAGAGATGATGAGCTAAAAAAAAGTTTTCCCTCAAACAGCAGTTCACTCTCATCCATGCCCCCCAACCAGCCTCCCCTCTTTGCTTCTGTTTACCTTCAGGTCCCGATACACAATCTTGGCTGAATGCAGGTAGTCGAGAGCTGAAACAATTTCTGCGCCGTAGAAGCGCGTGCGCTCCTCTGAGAACACCCGCTCTCTGGACAAATGGAAAAACAGCTGCGGGAAGAAGAGGGAAGAAGAGAGGGTGAGAGAGAGTGAGAGAGAAGGGAGAGGCAGCAGGGACAGCACAGCAATAATTACTGATTTATTGGAGGAAATTAGCACAACACAAACTGGCTGCCCGCACCATATTGAGATGATAGATAGCGGAGGGGAGGGTGAGCAGGGGTGTGTGTGTGTGTGGAGAGGGGTTGGGTGGGTGGTGGGGTGTCTCACAGGAGGGGCGGGCGGAGGCGCTCGGCAGCTGGCGTCTCATCTAGCAGCCCTGCTCACCACATACTCGCATACCTCTTCCACGTTACCCTCTGGGTTAGGCTGGCACGGTGCTGGCGTGGAGTACAGCAACGGGGGCCAAATCAAGAGTTTAATCAATACACCAGTCTAGTTAAAGACAGGCTGACCGCCACTGCTGCTGCCGCCAACCCCCCC